TGTAGTGCAAGAAATAAAAATTGTAAAATGTAATTACCCGAATAAAATATCATCGAATTTGAAAATTGATTTTTAGGGGATTATCGAACGACCAGGATTTGCAGTCCACGGGAGCACCGTAGCCCGAGTAATACCTAATAGTTATCCCGCTTAAGAAAGATTCCTCTATTCCCAATTTCAATGCAAAGAGCGACACAACGTGGAATATACTGTATTATATTGGATTACAGAGAACGAGAGACAAGATAACGGACACCCCGAGGCAGCCTAGAGGAGTGGGAAATTCACAACAAATTGTGTCGTTTTGCTTCATCTGTTTGTACGGAAATGATATTGGTTGGAAGCCCTGGAGCCTGGGAATGTAGCGCCACCACCACTACAGGCGACGAAGGAGCCGGTGGTGGTGGGGCGGTGGTTGTCGGAGTAAAGTTGGATGCACGGAGCAGGGAGTTGCTGACGTGGGCGTTAGTGAAAGTGGCACAGTCTGGGGATCGTGTCATTGCTCTGCACATCCTCGATCCCAGCACCGGTATCCTTCCATCTCTCTCACTCACACTCACTAGGGCACACGTCCGCACAGTTTTTTTTATTTCACTCCGGGTCCGGGAAGAATGCCATCTCTCATCCAATTAGCGTGGTTTGTTACACTGTACTGTGTATTTGGTGAAAGCTCGTGTGGTGCCTCGCACTATGCAGTCTATGCTTGAATTGTGTTAAAGGACTTAGGATTTTTGCATATTGAGCGAAATTTGAGTTTCTACTGCGTTGTTTTGCTCTCAAAGTGCGACTCACTGTCGGAGTTTGTAAACTGTATGAAATTTGATGTTTGGTTTCTGGGATCAGATTAATTGTTTAATTCTTGCTTTTTTGTTCATATTTGTGAAGAAGGGAAAGCGAGTTTGCTTTCGCTAGTGAAGACTTTCGATTCAGTTCTGGCTGCTTATGAAGGTTTCTGCAACCTGAAACAGGTCTGTTTAAAATTCTCTTATGATTCTTGTGTCTACTTATTTTTTTTACTGTCAGTGTCTTCGAAAACATTAAAATTTCCAACCTCCTATAGTGGGAATGAAATTCGTTTGATGATTCTAGTACTAAATTCAATCAATTATAATTTACCTGGTCCAAGTATTTTCTAAATTGTTATCTGAGTTTTACTTTTATATTTCTCTCTCTATTTTCTTCATACCCCGCATGATTGGACAAAAATTCATTTGCAGCAGTATTGTCAACTTTTTTAAAGGAAGTTTTGCTTGATTCCATGAATTTGTCAGGTGGATCTGAAGCTTAGAGTCTGTAGAGGATCACCAGTTCGTAGAGTCCTAACTCAGGAAGTAAAATTATGTGGAGCAACGAGTTTAATTGTTGGTTCTTCTCTAGAGCAACACACAATTAGATCTAGGACATCAGTCGCGAAGTATTGTGCAAAGAATCTCCAAAAAAAGGTCTCAGTTATATCTGTTAATAATGGCAAGATCATGTTCCAAAGAGAAGCAACTACTTCGGTAGGCCCAGAGTCAAGATCCAAACAGGGGAAAACTATGGGAAAAAGCCCTTTGAGTTTACCACCTGAGAGAGTTTTCTCATCATCAAATAGTGAAAATGAGCACAATTCCATGGCTTTGGTTCCCATCGAGACTCAGGAAATGCCAGAGTCAAGGTCTGGATGGACACTCCTCCAAAGGGTCTTTTTCCCTAGTGGAAAAGTACCTGAAAATCGTCCTAAGAAGTCGTCTGCAACGCAAAGGATGTTGAAATTACCAAGCCGTCAATCTGTCACGGCTATTTGTCCTGATCCAAAACATATTAATCTGTACAATAATGATGAGTGCCATTGTACAGAGTTTGGTGCAGAAAAGGGTGCAATTGTACCGTATGTGGCTGGCACTAATTCTGTATCTGATTTTCCTAAAACCATTTTGAGAGAACTTGAGGGTCTTGAGAAGTACTCATCAACATGTAGAATATTTAGCTACCAAGAACTTTTGTTAGCAACAAACAGTTTCACTGCTGGTTTGTTTTCCATCTCAACTGCTGTCTTTTACAATTTGTTTTTACTGCTCACCTTATGGGTTTACTTTATTGACTGGCAACTATATTATCAGAAAATCTGATTGGGAAAGGGGGTAGCAGTCGAGTTTATAGAGGTTGTCTACCAGAAGGCAAGGAACTGGCTGTGAAAATTCTTAAGCCATCAGAGGATGTGTTGGAGCTTTTTGTTTCTGAAATTGAAACCATCACGTCTTTGCGTCACAGCAATATAATTTCATTGGTTGGCTTCTGTTTTGAGGACAACAATCTACTTTTGGTTTATAATCTTCTATCCAGAGGAAGCCTAGAAGACAATCTCCATGGTATATATAAATGTTTCTTTCTTCTAATATGGAAGAATCCACTTGCACAATGTTTTAAAATTTATTTTAATGAATAACTGCTTTGTGAATTAGGTCCTCAAAAAACAGGGAATTTATTTTGTTGGGAAGATAGATATAAAGTCGCTTTGGGCGTTGCTGAGGCACTGGACCATCTACATAATACAGCAGTTGAACCCATCATTCACAGGGATGTGAAATCTTCAAATATCCTTCTTTCAGATGCTTTTGAGCCGCAGGTGCTGCTTACTTTTCATTAACTTCATTATTTGCCAGATATTACTCGTATTAACACTCATTTTGGTCTGCAGCTTTCAGATTTCGGGCTTGCTACTGGGACTTCAAGTTCTTCGCATCATATGGATACAACTGATGTTGCTGGAACATTTGGGTGAGTTTGTATTCTTTCTTTAGTTTTAAAGTCATTTTGATACAGTAGATAACCTTTTTTCCTGTGGCAGCTACTTGGCTCCGGAATACTTTATGCATGGCAAATTGAATGAAAAGATTGATGTTTACGCATTTGGCGTTGTACTCCTTGAGCTTTTGTCTGGTAGAAAGCCCATTGATAATAAACTTCCAAAGGGTGAAGAAAGCTTGGTAATGTGGGTATGTATCTGTTTCTACTTGAGCAAGTTTTTGTCTTCTATTGATTTAGGCATCGTTTCAATTATAATGTCATTAAGAGCACATTTATTCTGCTGAGGATTTCTCTCTTCAGCTATTTGTTGGTTAAAAGTTCAAACTGCCGATCTTTTTTCAGGCTAATCGCGTAACAAAAGATGGGAAAATTTCACAGTTGCTAGATCCTGACCTGATTAATGCTTATGACTACTATCAATTTGAGAAAATGGTCTTAGCTGCAATCCTTTGCATCAGACGTGCACCTCAATCTCGTCCTCAAATTAGCCTTGTAAGCCTATTTTTAATAATAGCAACGTGGTCGTCTAGATAATGAATTTAACTGTTGGTGCTAACTCGTAACAGATCCTCAAACTCCTTCAAGGTGATCTGGGAGTTCTTGAGTGGGCAACGGAGCAGGTAAATGCTTCTTCTTGGTCGAGGATTACCTCCAAGGCAGATGGAGCCCTTCTTAAAGCTTTGACTGAATATTGTTTTCGTGGATAATTTTCCGTCAACTAAAGATTGTTCTGCGGTCAGACGGTGTATATGAATTTGTTTAGCCATGTGATCTTTTTGTTACCACATTGTCATGTCTTAGACGAGAGGATTATAGCGTTAGGACCTCCTCCTTACCTGATTTATTTCAGTCCATATGTCGATTGGACTGCTTTTTGTTACGTGGATCACATTGTCACAATTCTTTCTGCAAATACTGAAACTGATGCAGAATTTGCAAATGCCAGCTATTGTTACAGTGGAAAATGATACAAATCGAACACAGTTAATTTAATTCTGAGGAAAACAATTTTAGGCAATTCAATTTCTTATAATTCATTTTCTTTTCACCCAAATTTCACTCTTGTAATCAAACAGACCTTTAAATAGTAATTATTTGGAATATATGTGGTTAAAAAGTTAGGAAAAGTTCTGAATTTACATATAAAATATTTTATCGAAAACATGAGTTTTTGGAGAATGGTGATCAAATAAGTTGGTGGTCCCTTCTCCAATTTTCCTCCTTCTCGGAATCAGATTCTACCCTTTCGTCTCTATATGATGGCATATGCTATGCCATACTTGTGCTTGTTAAGACATAAGTCTAAAACAAAGCGGTTCATGCTCGAAGTATGGTTAAGAATGATTTTTTCTCGAAGTATTTCTTGTTAATTGAATCCTACGTAGCTAGTACGTCAAAATTAAATTCTAATCAAGATCACTCCACGCCGATTTATGTCATATTCGTAAGACCATACAAAACATTAATTTCAAATACCCTTAAAAGATTTCAAATTAAGAGCAGATTCTATTAGCTAATTATAAAATGCCTTTTTGCATTGTTTTATACTATGTTTGAGTTGGACTTCAGATATAGAAAACAAGTCTATCCGGCTAAGTCATGCTTAGGGCTGGGCAAAATGTCCGAATCGAACTGAACCGAACCGGAACCGAACTGAATCGAGCGGGTTTTCTTAACTTAAAAATTCGAAGAACCGAAAAATTTTGGTTC